ATTTAAAGTTTACAACAGACCCACAAGAGGTAGACAAACTTTGCAAAATTCGCCCTATTATAAACATGTTTAAAAAAAAGCGTGCGTTATTCCAAAAGATGAAAATCTTTGTGTGGATGAAATGATGGTCCCCTTTAAAGGTAGAACTTGTCGGAGACAGTATATGCCCAACAAGCCCATCAAATGGGGAATGAAGATATTTTGTCTTAGCAGCTCAAAAGGCATAGTTTACGATTTTGAAATATATCAGGGAAAAGGGACAATTTTGAGTGGCTCAAAGCTGGGATTTTGTTCTGATATAGTGATTCATCTAGCAAAAACTATTCCTGACGAAAAAAATCATAAGCTATTTTTTGATWATTATTTTACTACTTTGAATTTAGTATTACATTTAAGACAAAAAGGAATTTGGGCTACAGGTACTATAAGAGGAAATAGATTCGGAAAAATTAATTTAAAATCTGAAAAGAACTGAAGAAAGAAAGCCGTGGAAGTTTTGACTATCGTGTCGAAAGAGCAGATAATATTTTTCTTCTCAGATGGTTAGATGGGGGCATTGTACAACTTGTGTCATCAATCCATGGCCATGAACCCGTGAGTAAAGTCTCCCGAGGACTGTGGACTCTTAAAATTTTTGAACATTTCATTGATTTGGCGGTGTGTAACTCGTGGTTAGAGTATCGAATGGACCACAAAAATAACAACCCGAAGAATATGTATATGGACCTATTGAGCTTTCGCAACGATATAGCAAATGGGCATTTAGCTCGGTCCAATCAACAGGCATGTTCCCGTAAAAGGGGACGCCCAACGTCAAGCCTAAATCAAGATATTCCTATTACTCCCACGACCACAAACAAAAAGCGTATTACTACTGCCTCAACTTCTTCACGATATGACGGAAATCGACATCGCCGGAACATACAACAGACAAGGGAAGAACGGATCAAGAAATTTCTTCAAAGAATATCATTATTTACGAAATATATGAATTATTAGTAAGATATTATTACTTCCTTTAGATTATATGCATGTTAAAAAGTTTTTTCAATTAATTCCAATAGTATCTTTTCCAGAACCGGTTCAATGCAACCGGGTTTTAGAAAGGTTTCATTAGAACTAATTTTAAAAAAACTTGTAACTTTTAGCCTCTTTTTATATTGTCATAATTTAAGTATGTAAACTTTCTCAGTATTTGCTTTTATTGTAATAAATGAATTTTAAGTTTTATAACTTCTGAAATAAATAAAAACTTACAAAAACACACTAGCATTTTTTACTTTTGAATATATCTTCTTGATGATTCTGAATATACAATAAGCATTTTTCTTTACCATAAGCGAAGTATGTATCCATGTGGATACAGTCCAAAAAACACATTTGTGATAATTTTTTTTCAAATCGAGCATTGATTGTTGTTGTTAAAAAATGTATTATAACTAAACAATTATGGCCAACATATGACAAGAAAAGAATTAACGACTTATTAAATAGTATCTACAGAGTAACTGCTACCATAAAAGAGCATTGGCCATTTGGAGAATACGCGTCCAAAATGGGTATGCTCGACGACATCATCTGCCGAGACTGCGAAATAGCAGGGAACAAGGAAAAAATTTTCCACTTTCTCTGTGAATATCTAGCCCTATCACAGATCCGACACAGAACCCTTGGAATCCATCAAGCACCAAACTTTGAATGAATTTCTATTAAAAACATATCGGACATAAGTAGCTTGATCGAAACCTCAAAATGGTTTGAAAGAGAAGGTGAAAGGTCATAGCAGATATAAAAGGTCTACGAATAGTGCATCAAAATGGCACAGCCTGTACTAATTGAGACCGAAAGACAACAGGGCTGCAATCCTACCTACCTACCTCTAATATGCCACGCGTTTGTTTTTGCTTATCCCTTTTTTTTTGTATAGCGCACTATATATTGCACCGAGATTCACCCAAATCTAATAGCATATATGCTCATATATGTCAAATTTATGGTATTTGTAGGATCCACGATTTTTGTATAACGCTGGTATTTGCATCTTTAAGCTTGTTCTTTATGAGCTAGGCTGTAAATCTGTTACTGTTGGATTTGAGTTGCAATTGTATAATGACTGCTATTGCAAATTATAAGAATAACCATGTGATGCTGCATAAAATTTCAATAATTCTTCCATTTATTCGGTTTTCCTTGTTCTGAAAAGATTATAATTATAATTTATAGCATATTTACAACTTACCTGATGCTCTTCAAATAATTCACGATCCTTCAAATTTTTCTTCGAATGGCGGTTGAATAGTGGCAATTTTTAATAAATTCATTGTCAATATGTGCGTCTCATTCTTACACATTCAAAAATTTCGTATGATGAATTTTGCTTCTCTTACAATAGAGTTTTCCATTTCAACACAAAAAGTTAAATAAGCATATTAGTATAAGAGATGAAACTTTGCAAATGTTTTTGTGAATTGGTTATTCCCGTCAGGAATAAAGGGATGTCCAACTTATTCTAGTGTGAGAACGCTTAAAATTTATAACATTTTCCATTATGGTCAAATTGGACAAAATAATAATTTTTGGGCCTTTGAATTTAAACATCCAACATTTAGTACGAATAAAAATTACTATGTAGTGGATAATTAATATACAGAGAAACTATTTAATTTTTTTTTATGATATGTTAAATCAACTGACTTTTGTTATTTCAATACCCAATAAAAGGATTTAAGCTTTTTAGCTCTGTATATATAAATGTTGTTAATATTTATTTTTTTCCCATTGAAAATAATACTATGATACTTGACACACAACTTTTTATAAGTAGTCTTGAACAATGCAACAAATCCCTCAGTTTATATATATTTTTTGGTAAGATTTCAATCTAGCCATCGCCTATTTTCAACTGCCGGAGCTCAGGAGGCTTTGGCGTTTAGCAATTGCTCTCTCACTGGAGTTGAATACCTCTTTATCTCTACTCCCGTGATCTCCATTAATTTTGCTGGAGTTACGGTTGCAAGTACTGTGTTGAATTTAGATGTGTCAGAGCAAAACACGTTTTATTGATATGTCAAACAAAAAAATTAAAAAAAACAAAAGGAATGGTTTTAATGAGAATTAAAAATTAATTACATTTATGGTGTTGCTACATATATATATTTTCTTGATTTGGAGAAGTGCTATTCTAAAAATTTCTCACCTCCGTTAACACATGGCTATAGAATGAAGGAAATATAAAAGTTTTGCGAAGAGATTATAAAATCGACATAAATTGACGACATTTAACACGACGAGTAGTGATAAAGAGATGCCCAACTTATTCCAGTGTGAGAGCGCCTCAAAATAAGCTCATTTTTATATAATTTTCCATTATCGCCAGATCAGGCAAAATAATAATTTTTGGGTATTTAAATTAAATTACCCAGCTTCTAATGTACCGCCAAACTATTTAAATATTTTTTTTTATTATTTCATGGCATATTAAAACAACTGACTTTTGAACTTTCTATATTTAATAAAGTGAATTAAGCCTGTTAGTTCTCAATTAACAAATGTTTTTAATGACTGGGAACTGAAAATTAACCGAGTGATTCTGTACTGCGATACAGTCACAAGTATCTATATTTGAGATTTGAAATTAGGCACAATTTTTGTGATTTGAGACGATTTTGCTATTCTGATGGGACAGTCACAAAATCTATTACATTTCGTTATTCAGAGATGTTTTTACACTTTGATGAATATAATAGCGGGATTCTGTAACCAGTCTCTAGTCTCTACTTGAGACATTTTGAGGTAAAATCTCACTTTGTGACAAATTACTATTCACTAAACAGTCTCTAGCTCTAGTCTCAAAATATTGCCTAAAATTTGAGACCTGGTAGTTAGCAACTCACAAAACCAAAAAGAACTCTTGTCTGCCATTTTGAATATACTAGAGAAGTGAATAGTAACTAGTCACAAATTAAGACTTCACTCCAAAATGTCTCAAATAGAGACTAGAGACTGCTTACAGAATCGCGCTATAAGACTACTATCATCATCATGCATCACATTGCCAAACGTTTAATGAAATATATTTCAACTTCCCATTTTCTTTATTTTTCATTGTTTTCAATTTTTATTAGCGATTATAAATGGTGGCAACAAATCCTACCCTTCACATATATTTTCGGTATAATTTCGTCTGGCCGTTCCAGTCATTCAAATGGCGAAACGTCAAGACCATCCGATCCAGTCAACTGTCAAAGTTTAGTAGGTGAGCGATTCCCACATTTCCGGTGACAGGAGAGTTGGGCATGTCTTTATCACTAACGGGGCATCTTGACAAGAAAAATTAGTGTTATACCAAAAAACATGCCCAACTCTCCTGTCACTGCAATATATGGAATACTAATTAGTATGCCAAATATTGAAAGCAACAAACTGTCACCTCAGTACGTTTACATATGAACTTAATCTCGTTATAAGCTTGTTCAATAATCTACCTGTTTTTATAGGCTAATGTGATTATCAACTATCAAATTTGTTGTATTTGTATTCTTCTTGGTAAATTGTAAAGTTTCGTGAATCAATATTTTTACTCGTGAATTAAAAAAGAAAAAATAATAAAAATTAAAGATATGGAAGGAAAACAAAAGAACGCGATTGTATACTTGATTACGCAGATTGCTGCGAGTAATAAGAAGTTGGCAGAAAGACGGAAAAGACGACAACTTAGATTAGAAAATATATTAACTGAGAAAAAAATGCAAAATTCTTTATTGCTTTTTGTAATAAATAACAATAGGCCAAAACGTTTGTGGAAACACGTAAGCAATTACATCATTTTATTAAACTCCCACTTGACATTGCATTGTAGGAAACGCACGGTAATATTTGGGAACTCGCCGTTACTTTCAATAGTGACCAATTCTTCAAGCAGAGCTTCAGGATGAGTCGGGAATTATTCAAAATTTTATGTAATGAGCTCACAAACATTGGCAAACGTGATACTATATACAGGCAATGTATTCCATTAGAAAAAAGAATAGCTATCGCTTTGTTTGCCCTTGGTTTTTCTGCTGAGTACAGAACAGTTGGAACACTATTCTCTATCCTTAAAGACTTTTGCAGAGCGGTGTGTTACATACTATCGCCTAAATATTTAGCCAGCTCATTTCTTACTCAAGGAAAAATTACCGAGTACGTTTGAGAAGAAAAATTGGGTTCCCCCAATGTCTGGGGAAATGTAAGTTTATGAATTTGAAATATTTTATTCATAACATGCAAATACAATTTATTTCAGATGGATGTCATATTGAGATTATTCCCTCCACATCTGATGCTGTTGACTATTTCAACTACAAAGGCTGGTACTCAATGGCTTTACTAGCCCTCGTAGACTACTGGTAAGTTAACAACATACATGTTTTGGAAAATACTTAAAGCATTTTTTTTGGACATTGCTTTATATACATTAATGTTGGAGCACCTGGTCGTTGTAATGATTCCCAAATATTTGAAAAATCCGACTTGAAAAGAATTTAGCAAAACCCACTGCTTACAGAGAATGCGAAAAAACTTTGTGACACTAATCCACATATTTTCACATTGTAGTTCTTAGAGACTCGGCGTTTCGCTTTACTCCGTTTCTAATGAAGCCCTATCCCTATAACAAAGCCGCTGAGGATCACGAGAATATTTTCAATTACCATTTATCTAAATCTCGAAGGGTTGTGGAGAACGCTTTTGGCCAACTGAAGGCACGATTTAGAACGATAGGAAAAGGAATTGATAACGATATTAAAAACGCTATATTAATAACAAAATGCTCTTGCGTCTTGTACAATTTTGTAAATGAAATGAATGATAGCATAAACACGAAATGGTTGCAAATACAAACAAATTCCGAAAGCGCACACCCACGAGAGGAACCTGATCGATTATTCCTTTCTGGAACCGACGACCCTAATGCAGAGAACATCAGAAAATCTATAGCTCTATTTCTATGTAAGTTTATGTGTTTATTTTATCAGTTCATTTTTTCATTTACAGGCAATTCATTTTTCATATTATAATATATCACAATATATCAATATTAATTCATTAACAAAAGAAAATAATTCATAAGAAAAACAAAATAATTTATAAAAACTTAAAATTTATATACATACATAACAATATAAAATAAAAAAAAATGCATATACCTATAATATATATATATGTAAAATACCAAAAATCTTCTATGTTGTTATATCATCTTCTTCTTAATTGGCACAGTCACCGCTTACGCGTTTATAGCCGAGTTAACAACAGCGCGGTAGTTTTTTTCTTTTTGCCACGTGGCGCCAATTAGATATTCCAAGTGAAGCCAGGTCCTTCTCCACTTGGTCCTTCCAACGGAATGGAGGTCTTCCTCTTCCTCTGCTTCCCCCGGCGGGTACTGTGTCGAATACTTTCAGAGCTGGAGTGTTTTCGTCCATCCGGACAACATGACCTAGCCTAGCGGGAATTATGAGTGACTTATAGAGTTTGGTTTTTGTTTGCCGAGAGAGGACTTTGCTTCTCAATTGCCTACTCAGTCCGAAGTAGCATCTGTTGGCAAGAGTTATCCTGAGTTGGATTTCCAGGCTGACATTGTTGGTGGTGTTTACGCTGGTTCGTAGATAGACGAAATTATCTACAACTTCAAAGCTATGACTGTCAACAGTGACGTGAGTGCCCAGTCGCGAGTGCGACGACTGTTTGTTTGATGACAGGAGATATTTCGTCTTGTCCTCGCTCACTGCCAGACCCATTTGTGTTGCTTCCTTGTCCAGTCTGGAGAAAGCAGAACTAACGGCGCAGTTGCTCAACGTCAGCTTACACAGCCGTATAAGTTTTGCAGGGATACCAAAATCAGACATCGCCGCTGCCACGAGCATTTGTGGTGGCATTAACATTAGGTTTGGAATTTAAAGTAGAAGATGCTGTGCGACCTTTTGGTGCAACCACCACGGGATCGTCATCGCCTTCCTCATCACTTGAACTGGGGTCAATCATGGTTATTTACAATAAATCGTATTTCGTACGTTTTCCTTTTTAGATTAAATTTGGTATTCGCTCAGTAATTATACAATAAATCTAAAAAACAAGAATGTAACAGACGATATATATAAATAAATGACGAACAAATTATGCACATAATTCCAGAAATTCATGTGAAGATTCTGAATAGGAGAGAACAAAACATTTTAAGGCGTTCTCAAAACCGAACTATTCTAGATCTACTACACTGCTCTCGATCTCGTGTTTGGCTCCCAGTTTCCCCCTGAAGAAATTGAGGACTGAAAGCTCTGACTGTAGAGGAGTCGCTAAGTCCTCTTAGAGATACCAAGGAGGCTGTAAGCTATTACTTCGAGAGTGTGATTCTACGGATCGTCCCAAAGTATGCTAGAGCGTATGAACCAGACTTAAGGAGTGACGGTCAAGACCCGAACGCAGATGAAAATCGACATCGTCCCTTCCGCGGATCGTCAAACGATGGATATATCTTCAGTCTCGACCAGCTATTCGAAAAGGCCGGCGGTGGTATTGATAGTGGTTTATATCGCTGGTATCGATTAATCGCTTCCTCTTCCGAAAGTTAATACAGGGGAAATTTTGTTGGTATTGGCCAATTTGCACAATGACGACGTGGTAGAACTACCTTCAGAGTTGTTGAAGAATAATCAGCCAGAGGCCGGAGCACTTAATCTGGAAGAGCTCGAACACAAATGCTTGGGGTGCACAACTCCAATATCTGAGAGCTTTAACAATTATGGTTGATATTAATAATTATTAGATTTGAGATGGCTTAGTTTAAAACTTTCATTATTTCTCGTTTTCGTACTGTCGAAAGCAGCTTTGAAATCGACGAAGAGGTGATGAGTGTCGATTCTCCTTTCACGGGCCTTTTCCAAGATTTGGCGCATGGTGAATATCTGGTCGGTTGCTGTTTTTCCAGGTCTAAAGCCACACTGATAAGTTCCAATCAGTTTGTTGACGGTGGGCTTTAATCTTTCACACAATATGCTCGATAAAACCTTATATGCGGTGTTGAGGAGGCTTATCCCACGGTAATTGGCGCAGATTGTAGGGTCTCTTTTTTATGGATTGGGCATAGCACACATAAATTCCAATCGTTGAGCATGCTTTTGTCCGACCATATTTTACAAAGAAGTGGATGCATGCTCCTTATCAGTTCTTCGCCGCCGTGTTTGACTAGCTCGGCCGGCAATCCATCGGCCTCCGCAGCTTTGTTGTTCTTCAGGCGGGTAATTGCTATTCGAACTTCTTCATGGTCGGGCAATGGAACGTCTGCCCCATCGTCATCGATTTAGGATTCGCGTTCGCCTTCTCCCGGCTTTGTACTTTCACTGCCATTCAGCAGGCTGGAGAATTGTTCCCTCTATAATTTAAGTATGCTTTGGGCATCGGTGACTAGATCATCTTTGGCTGTTCTACTAGAGTATGCTCCGGTCTTGAAACCTTCAATTAAAGATACCGCATTTTTTCATACAATTTTCGAGCATTACCCCTGTCGCCCAGCTTATCAAGCTCTTCGTACTCACGCATTTCGGCCCTTCCCTTTTTCTGTCTGCAAATGCGTCTCGCTTCCCTCTTCAACTCTCGGTATCTATCCCATTCCGCACGTGTTGTGGTCGATGGTAACGTTGCGAGGTAGGCAGCCTGTTTTCTCTCCGCTGCGACACGGTACTCCTCGTCGTACCAGCTGTTCTTTTGTACTTTCCGAAAACTAATGGTTTCGGTTGCAGCTGTACGTAAAGAGTATGAAATGCCGTCACACAGTTCCCTTATGCCGAGTTGTTGACGAGTGCTCTCAGAGAGCAGGAGTGCAAGCCGAGTAGAAAATCTTTCGGCGGTCTGTTGTGATTGCAGCTTCTCGACGTCGAACCTTCCTTGCGTTTGATGGCGTGCGTTTTTTGCTGCACAGAGGCGCGTGCGAATCTTGGCTGCCAAAATATAGTGATCAGAGTCGATGTTAGGACCTTGGAGAGCACAAAAATGGAAACGTGTCTTCCGTCTGTCACAACATGATCGGTCTGGTTTGTGGTTTTTCGATCCGGAGACAGCCAGGTAGCTTAATGAATCTTCTTATGCTGGAATCTAGTATACTATATTTCGGGCCCGGGCGAAGTCGATCAGCCTCAACCCATTTGGGGATGTTTCGTCATGGATGCTGAATTTACCAACCGTAGTGCCAAAGATATCTTCTTTGCCCACCCTGGCGTTAATGACGCCAATCACAATTTTGACATCGTGGCTGTGGCAGCTCTCATAAGTGCACTCGAAGCACTCATAAAAGGCATCTTTGGTCACATCGTCCTTCTCATCTGTCGGGGCGTGGGCGTAAATCAGCGATATGTTGAAGAGCCTCACTTTGATACGGATTGTGGCTAGACGTTCATTCACCGGAGTAAATGATAGTACTCGGCGACGGAGTCTCTCTCCCACCACGAATCCCACACCAAACTTGCGCTCCTTTATATGCACTGTAGTAAATCCCACAAGGACCTACTCGTCTCAGTCTTTATCATGTCCATCGCTTTTCTTAAACGGCGGTGATGTCAGCCTTTATTTTCACGAAGACATCAACCAGCTGTGCAGCGGCACCTTCGCAATTAAGGGACCAGACATTCTAAGTGAAAGCCCTAACAAACACCCTAGTGCGACAACCGCCCCGGCGGGTTCTGCAGCTGCAACAAATACCACCCACACGTCCCTCCCTCACCCCCAGGATCACCCACGGACACCCGCGACAAACCCGGCTACTTCAATTCAACTGCAACGGACTCCAGAGCAAGATCGAGGAGATAGTTGCACTTATAAATCGGTAGCGCGTATTGATAGCTGCGATCCAAGAAACCAAACTAAACAGCCGCTCAGATCTTTTGAGTTGTGCAGGTTTCAACGTTATACGTAAAGATCGCGAGCGAGATAATGGTAGTGGTCTAGCCTTCATATTGCACAACACCGTGCAGTATCGTCTAATCGATGAAGACATCGACCSCAGGGAYRYTACCCTAGAATGTCAGGGCATAGCTGTCCGGTCAGGCGATGTCGAGCTGGAAATATTTAATATATACATCCCCCCAGTTACATGTTGCCCTACAGGATATCACCCGAATATAGGTGCGCTACTTCGTGGTGAAAACCGTTTGGTGCTAGGCGACTTTAACGCGCACCACGATCTTTGGCATTCCTGTCGGTCAAATGACCGTAGGGGGATGGAGCTGGAGCTGAACGCGACTCCTTACGCCATGCCGATCCCGGGGATCACCGAATAAGGGATCTCAATTTGGAGATTCGGCGTATGGTAAWCCAGCATAAGCGGACAAAATGGATAGAGCACCTGATGTCCTGCAACCTCTCCACCGGTGTGAGCAAGCTTTGGGCTACTGTCAAAGCTTTGTCCAACCCGAAGAGTCACGACGACCGAGTTGAAGTTCAATTCAATGGTCAYGCCTCTTCGGACCCGAAGAAGTGCGCGAGCTATTTTAGCCGGCAGTTTACACTGCACCCTTCGGTAGACAAAGACAAACGATGTGTTAACCGACAGCTGCGCAAAATACCAAACGATGGCGCGCCACTTACTTTCACCGATGAAGAGGTTCAGGGAGTCATCAACAAAGCAAAATCTTCCAAATCCATTGGCCCTGATGGAATCAACATGCTAATGCTAAAGCWTCTAGGCTCGACGGGAGTAAAATATCTCACCAAGGTCCTCAACCTGTCGCTAACCACTCTTCAAATACCCGATGTGTGGAAAGTCGGAAGAGTGGTCCCACTACTGAAACCAGGGAAACCCGCCAACAAAGGGGAATCTTACCGCCCGATAACTCTCCTCTCCCCAGTAGTGAAGACACTTGAAGCCTTGTTACTCCCGAGCGTCACTCACCACCTGATCCTAGCCAGTCACCAGCATGGATTCCGTAAAATGCACAGTACCACCACAGCGCTTAGCGTCATAAACGCTCAGATAGCTCGTGGCCTCAACCAGAAACCACCCTGTGAGAGAACGATCCTCGTAGTGTTGGACCTGTAAAAAGATTTTGACACGGTCAATCACACAACGCTACTGCAGGACATTGAGAAAACCACGCTTCCTCCAGGGCTCAAGAGGTGGACCATGAACTATCTGAAACTATTTCGAGGCGCAACATCTAAACTGAGAAGAACTAAACAGGGGGTTCCGCAGGGTGGTGTCCTCTCCCCGCTGCTGTTTAACTTCTACATCTCGAAACTCTCGCAACCACAAGAGGGGGTTTCCATAACCTCGTACGCTGATGACTGTACGATATTGACGTCGGGCAATGGAATCAATGGCATATGTTCGAAGGTAACCAACTACCTCTCCGACCTTTCTCGTTTCCTCACTGCACGGAACCTCCAACTTTCCCCTNTTTTGACACGGTCAATCACACAACGCTACTGCAGGACATTGAGAAAACCACGCTTCCTCCAGGGCTCAAGAGGTGGACCATGAACTATCTGAAACTATTTCGAGGCGCAACATCTAAACTGAGAAGAACTAAACAGGGGGTTCCGCAGGGTGGTGTCCTCTCCCCGCTGCTGTTTAACTTCTACATCTCGAAACTCTCGCAACCACAAGAGGGGGTTTCCATAACCTCGTACGCTGATGACTGTACGATATTGACGTCGGGCAATGGAATCAATGGCATATGTTCGAAGGTAACCAACTACCTCTCCGACCTTTCTCGTTTCCTCACTGCACGGAACCTCCAACTTTCCCCTACCAAATCCACAGCGACCATATTCACGAACTGGACGAAGGAGTACAGACTGGAACTTAATATTGCAGTCGACGGCGTCAAAATTCCGGCTGTCAATAACCCGTTGAGCCATCAACACCTTCACCGACTCCCTCCCCGTGAATGGCGYACTTGGAGTCAAATCACCACCCATAGCAAACGAAGAGCTCGAGTTGCCGCGAGAAACGCGAGTGACCCTTGCGCAACTTCGTTCTGGATATTGTAGCAGGTTAAACTCCTACCTATCCAGAATAGACCCTGACATACCTACCGTATGTCCTGCATGCAACGAGTCTCCGCATGACACTGACCACCTCTTTGCATGCCCAACCAACCCCACCCATCTAACACCCTTTTCCTTTTGGTCCGACCCCGTCGAAACAGCACGTTTCCTGGGCCTCCCGTTAGATGACATCGACGACAACACTGATAACCCTCACCATCCCATCGGGGACTGATAACCGTTAAAACAACAACAACAGTGGTGAGGCCACTAATATGTAAAATGTAAAATTACTCAAAGCTCTAACAAACCTGACGTTATTTTACAAATAAAAGCATAAAAAAGCTCTGTTACATCATTTATAATAACAATTGATAATTTAAAATAAATAAATCTACCTATTTACTTATTTGTTGCTGAAAATTTTAACTTTGAATAAAATATTAAAATTTCATTGAAGTGCAAGGTATTAGGATGGCCACAACGAAATTGTATACATGCAAAATGGACAACTGCGTTGTTTTTCGTACATGCCGGCCATTGTTATGTTGCTGCCCTCTCACAAACGTTCATGTACTAGAACTCACAACGCCATTTTCAGTTAACTGTCGTGCTGCTGCAGTCTTGCGCGGGCATTGTGTTACGCACATAATTTTGCAGATTCAAATGTTAATCGATACTTATCGAAAACTGCAACCACTAAAAACCGGCAAACAGTTAAATAAACGGATAACTGCGTGAGCTGGATATTTTTATACACATCTACAGAGGAGTAAAATAAGCATAAAAGGCCATTGTACACAGTAAGAGGTAACATTTTTATTAAAATGTCATTAATATGATTTTAATGGAAATTTATGTTCTAACACAATTGTAATTAAGAAGTAAAACACGGAAGTCAACGATCAAAGTTGATTAGTAATATTTTTGCACCGAATTCTTAATATACTAAAACGGCTCATCCGCATATCATTTGGAGGATGGGATTTAGGCAAGCCCACATTCCGGGGGAAAACTTTAGTATACCGTCCCAGGATTTCGAGAATAAAATGGGTATGGTCGGATAGAGAAGATTCTCCAGATAGCCGCAGGAAGCTTATAGTTTTCGAGATATTCGTGATTAAAGTTGAAATTTTGCAATATTTTAATTACATATTTCCGGTATTTAAAATGAAATTTTCACTTAAATTTTTCAATTTTATATACACTAACACATCACTTATTCATTTGCACACATTTATTTTATATAATATAGTGCAAAAATTGCTTTTAAATATATTTAAATTATTGTTGAAATATGATTATTTAAGAATAACAAATGAATTACAAAGTTTCAAATAATCAGTGTTACCTTATCGACATCGTTTGTAAAATAACAAAATGAAACAACCTATAAAAGAAATAACTGGTCGATCCAACACCGGGGTGTACCAAATTTTTTTCGCGTAGAACTTTTTGCGTGGGCGGCCTTTGGCCGCGCTTCAAAAAAACAAAAATAACTCTGGTCGGTCCAACACCGGGGTGTACAAAATTTTTTTCGCGTAGAACTCGTTTTTGGGTGTATACATTTTTTTGCTCCCGTAGAACACATTTTTACATTGGCGGCCWTCAGACCGCTTAAATTTTTTTACATATTTTTTTATTGCTTATCAACGATTATGTTTCCTATATTCAGGCTATAATATTTCTTTATAATTTTTTTTTTTTTTTTTTGTTTTAGTTTGTAAAATATTTTAGTATTTATTTAGTTGGCAGTTTGTAATTCATTTGTTATTCTAAAACAATAATATTTCAACAATAATTTAAATGTACACTAAAAGCAATTTTTGCACTATATTATATAAAATAAATGTGTGCAAATGAATAAGTGATGTGTTAGTGTATATAAAATTGAAAAATTTAAGTGAAAAATGAATTTTAAATACCGGAAATATGTAATTAAAATAAAGCAAAATTTCAAATTTAATCGCGAATATCTCGAAAACTATAAGCTTCCTGCGGCTATAACCATATATATTCGTGATCTGGAGAATCTCCTCTATCCGACAATACCCATTTTATTACCGAAATCCTGGGACGGTATACTAAAGACGACCCCATTCCGGTATTAAGCATGTTAAATTAATGATTTGACATAGAGGAGGTTTCCCACATTGAGGATATACATTTGCCGGTGAGTCAAGGTCCATTCAATAACAATTTTTTGTTTTTTTTTTTGACAATTCATAGTTTAACAACAAGTTGAAAAAAGTGAAGGGTGGTAGAATGGTTTGATGTTGTTGTGGTGGTAGAAGGCAAAACTCCGATGGCTACGATTTAGAATATTTAAATGGGTATGTACGTCTCGAGGAGGTCCTACAGATGAAGAATATATATACAATAGGTTGCCGCTGACTTATGGTTTTTAAGATATTTGCATGTAAAGTTCTTAAAATCAACTATTTAAAATGCGTGTTTCTCATTTATTTTATATTAAATAGTGCAAAACTGACGGGGAGTGTCAGAAAGAGGAAGTCCTCCTGATTAAAAAATATATAATAGTAGGGTTATAGGTTATAGGTACCGCAAACGGTTAGTTTAGGAGATATTCGACCTTAAAGTTCAAAAATTCGCAAAATTCGTACATTTCAAGACGCTATTTCACCACATTAAACACACTTTATTAACATTTTTCACTTCAATTCAATTAAATTACACTATAAATTTGTAAATAACTCCATATCTTACACTTTTCGCAGATTTTTACCTAAAAAATCTGCATTTTAAAAATTACATTTTACACTCGTTTTAACCGACGAAATGGAGCGCTGCCATGTGAAGATAAGGCACTTCGCTGAAATTCCTCTTTTTCGGAAAAATTTCTATGCATATTTCATGCATATGGATATTTTCTTTTTTAAATTTATTAAGCAAATAATTAATATTATATACATGTATTAGTAATATTATATAATAATATTGTATATACATATGTATAAGTAATATATAATAATATTACGTAATAAAGTGTAAAGTATATTAGTACAGTACCAAAATTAAAGTTTTCGTTCAATATGAGTGCATGGTAACCAACAAATATAACCACTTTATACCCGTTTCCACGACAGTCGGGTCTACGAAAACCGGAACGGACCCGTATTTTTATCCGGCCAAGGACTGTCAACTCGGCAGAATTCTGCCGTTACAACAACAACCACTTTATATTTTAAATATAAAAATTGATGTATCGTCACCTAAAATACAAAACAATGTATAATCAAAAATAAATGGAAATCGCTGACAGATATAATAAAAATTTCCAATAGTGAAAACAACCGGTTATAATTAAGGCACGCGAATATAGTATAATAAAAATTTGAATTCCATTGAAATCAATATACCGTTAATACAGAAGTAACCCAACCAAAATTTTTTCTATAGTACTAACGTATTACTCCATTATTAAAATATATAGTATAACCTTAATTGAGCGTGGCCCTAGGGATCCACCCCACCACCCCATACCACCCCTTTTCACATTTGTTCTTTCAACCATCGATCCGAAACGAGTAAAGTAACCCAAATGTATATAAGACCTACCATTTTGATTCGTTGGGTTATTACTGTCTTCCTTTTGTGTTTATTTTCTTCGTCGTTTGTACAGTTCATATTCAGTAATTTTGCTTACATTTAATGCAACAGTATAACACGTAATTAAAAGCTGTTTTATTTCTTAAACATAAAATTGCAACTTAAAATTCATAATTTGTCATTAATTTAACTAAATATATTTCAAAGAATGTGTGTGTGTTAAATAGGTTAAATTTTTTGCAAGCAGTGCAACAAAAACTTCAAAAGACGAGAGCCATTGTTTGAGCAAATGTGAAAATGTGCGTTTTTTGCTTACTTATATCTAAAAAACGAATTAACATTTAACAATTTACATTTAAACCAAAGTTTAATTCATTAGCTATCCGCGCTATATAAATTTAAAAAAATCCGTGCACGCATTTAAGAGGAATAAGCAGTGAAAAGGAGATACTGAAACGAACCCAACCCAAAATAACTTTAATTCCATATCAAACTTAAGTAAAAATTCATTTATTCATAAAATAAGAAATGCAACGGAGATCAACACAAAAGAACAGAGCACGCCCAGATGTTGGTCCGACTGAGGATTTTTTTTTTTTTGAAGCGCGGCCGGAGGCCGCCAATGCAGAAAGGAATTCTAATGGCTAAAATTTAGAATAGCATCGTCGGATTTCGGGGATAAAATGGGTGTCACTGGAAAGGTGACGTTCTCCAGATAACGAATATATATATATATATAGCTGCCGCTGACTTATAGTTTTAAAGATATTTGCATTTAAAGTTAAAAAATTTACAACTTCTAAATTGATAATTTGTATATTGTGAATAACTTTTTCACTTATATAATGCACTTTTCACTTACTAACACTTCACTATAAGGTTTTTGTATGTTAATTTTTTTTAATATTTATTGCAAATAAAGCTTCATTTTAATTATTTTGTTTTAGTTAAATTCTCTGCATTTGCACAACAATAATGGGGTTGCATACCAGCAAATAAATGGTATTGCCATATCTGCCTAGGTGTCAACAAAAGCAAATAAGCAAAAACTTTTTACCCCAAACACTTAACTGGAAAACGCCAAAAATCTGTAGCAATTTTTTATAAAAGAAAAAAAGTCGCAGAAAGGAGTTCTACGCGAAAGATCTCTAAACACCCCGATGTTGGTTCGGCCAGGGTTATTTTTTTTAAGCGCGGCCGCGATCTGAAGGTGCCGTTGGAAAGAGGAAGTCCTGCTGATTAAAAAATATATGGGGTTATAGGTAACGCAAACGCTTAGTCGACTTTAAAATTCAAAAATTCCCAAAATTCTTATATTTCAACCTGCTATTTCACTGCATTTAACGCACTTTATGCAAATTTTTCTCTTCAAATTCATTTAATCAAGCTCTCAATATTTAAACAAATTCTCAATTTACACTTTTTACATGTTTTTATAATAGTGAACATCATTTACTTATGTGCTAACAATTATGAGGAAATCAATAAATGGATTTCACTTAAAGTTATAAATAGAATAAAAGTCATTTTTGCACTATCTAATATAAAATAAATGGTTAGAAACGAATTAGTGAAGTGTTAGGGGATATAAAAGTTAAAAATATAAGTGCAAAATAAATCAGAGAAACATGCATTATAAATTGGCACTCTAATACTGGCACTCACCTTTTTGACTCGGCGATGAATTCGTAAGACAAGGTTTGGAGAAAAAAATATATGTTTGATCAAAAGCGGCAGGGCGCCGTCTGTCGGTCGGCCGGTGTGAAAAATATGATGTAGATCAGAGAGCTGCAACCAGTATGATAAAATCAGAAAAAAGTGTCGTGCCAAAAACACAATCAAATCAATTCAGTTCAGTATAGACACATTGTTAATCAATTCGGGTAGCCACCAGCATCAACTGATCTGATGCAAAGCCAGAAAAATCTGTTCTTCGGCAATCACGATCGAGTAAACGGTATGGCTGGCTTCGGTTCTAATCGTATCATGACAGTTCATATCGTTGTTGTTGTTATAACGGCAGAATTCGGCCGAGTTGACAGTCCTTGGCCGGATAAAAAATCCGGGTCCGTTCCGGTTTTCGTAGACCCGACTGTCGTGGGAACGGACAGTTCATAGCGTTGCGAAGATTGTTTGAATTGATGTGAAACTTTGGGTAAACTATAGGTAAATCTTTGGGTAGATCTATAAGTATAAGCAAACAACAACAATTTTCTGCTGGACTGATTTGAATCATGTGT